GCGTCTGAAAAGAAGATGGCCACGTGATCTTCTATTATAGACATATTATTAGAGTGCTATAATAATACCAATGGGTAGTTTCTCAACATGTGTTCCATGTCTTTATACCAATGTGCAAATTTACTAGATGTATTTTTTTGTATACAGTTGTAAATATCATTTAAAATAAATAAATAAAAGTTAAATAACGAAATGTTAAGAACAACAATTAAAATTAATAGTTAAAGTTAAATGAAGAAAAATTAACAAAAATAATTAAAATTGAAAGCTAAAGATTATAGATAAAAGTTAAGAGGTAGAGTTTAAAAATACAAAGCTAAAATTACATGAATAAATGTTAATAAGTATAATTTAAAATTAAATTATAAAAATTACAAGAAGAATATTTAAGAAATAGAATTTAAGTTTTAAATACAAATGAAATAAATTTAGATTATCATAAATTTGAAAATTAGATGGTAAAATTAAAACCTCAATACAGTTTCTTATATTATGAATTTACAAAAATATTGGAAATGAAGTAGCTTTTAAGTAAATTTCTTAATTAAATTTTGGCTTCATTTATTGGTTGGCTTAAGAAACAATATTATATTTTTAACAGCATTTGGTTTATTTTGAAGTATTCCTTCATAGCTATTTCTAAAATTATGTTGGCCCATATGTGACTGAAATGTATAATATTCAGTAAATTTATAGTTCATTGCCAGAGGTAAGCTACACGAGATGCATTGGGATGGGAAATCATTCCTCATTAAATACTTGTGGATAAGCGGAGTAAGTCCGATCCTCAGCGGAGTCTATACCAATGTCAATAACTCAGCCGGATGCTAGTAGAACCTGACCAAATTAGATGGGTTTTGTTTACTATTTCATGTGGAATAAAATGACATAAGTCACATTCTATAACCCGTCCCGCGTTAAAAGATATTGCTATTTTAAAATCGTAAATTTGAATGTTTTTAAAATTATTTTCCATCATAGCTATCTTCAGAAGGGGGTTTCGCAAAAAAGTAATATAATATTTTCTTCTCAGAATTAAATTTTCTTTGGGATGATACATTTTTTTTTTTGGAAATTTTCATTAGTTTGGAAAATACCTAAAAAAATTGTTTTCCTTTCTTTGACCTATTAGGTACTTAAATCCTCTTTAAAAATTTTTATATTAAAGTTCATATGAAGGAAATATAAAAAAATTTGTCTGGAAGAACAAAATGACGACTTAGTTTTGACAAATATGCGCCGGCCGTACGGCTCCACAAATCTTATTAAATTGTTATCTCTTGTGATTGACCAAGTTCATTGCGTCGCAAGCCATGATTTTTCTTTGATTAAAGTGACTACTTCAAAAGAAGGTTGAGTGATGATGATTGTTTGACCATCTTTACACGGTGGTCCCCCTCCTACCGTGCATTCCCTCCACATCCCTATAAATTACATATCGTTGTGTTCCTTGTAACAATTTATTAAAAAAAAGCCAATGTTTCCACAAAAAAAGTGAACGAACTGCCCCAAAATGGCTTCCAAACATGGCCGACTAATGACTTTGACTTTAGTTAGTTTTTTAGTCACTGAGAAAAAGCATTTGGCTTAATTGTGTCAAAATTGGTCTTTTATTAAAGCTGGATAGTCAGGAAATAATAAAACATGAAAAAATATTAAAAAATAAATGGCTTAGGCAATAAAAAAGATCAATAAAGTCAATTTCTTTAACAAAAAAAATTTCAAGTTGAAAATCAAGCGTTGTTTATATTTAAACGGCCAACAATAACGCAAAATGTGCTGAAATAAAACATCTGGAGAATATATTCTTCTTTCTAAAACACTGATGTCTTTTTAAAATATTTAAAGCAGTTCCGTAGGAAATGCACATAGGCGGCAGAAAAGCGCTAAGTGCGTGGGTGCCAATAGGCCTCTACCACACCATTCAGTGCTCATATATATATATATATATATATATATATATATATATATATATATATTATATATATATATATATATATATATATATTGTTTTGCATTTAATTTCTTTAATTTTTCATTCAGGCTTAGTTAGGTTTGTCCTATCTACAAAATACAGTACTGTAAGACTGTTGCGAGACTCTTGTGCAAGACCAAGACCATGACCAAACTGAGTTTGCAAGAACATGACTAGTCTGGGTCTCGTATTTGGGCAACACTAGACCATGGTTATAAATATAAAAGAATATTATAAATGAATAATAAATATAAATTGAATAGTAATTTTATTTCTATTTCTCTATAGTAATGTACTGCCTAGAAAAGAGACCTATTTATTAAATATCAACTTATTTGATTTAATGGGAGTTGTTGGAAGTCTCCATACATAGAAAAAAATATATTTATATAAGTGGTCATTTACATATATAAATTAAATGTAAATTAAACATTAATTAATTCCAAAAATAAAATAAAAGTAGGTATGTATAACACAACATCAAACGGATTTAAAATGTAGACCCACCCCTCCAATGACTTGATACAGAGGAAACATCTATTTTTTTCGAGGAAAATACTTAAGAAAAATAAAGTATTATCTTTAAAAATACCTAAAGATCGTACCCGGATTTTAAAATATTCCCTACAAGAAAGTTGTCCCACAGTTATTGAATAACTGTTTACGGACACAGTGTCAAAAGAAAACCAACCAACCAGCAGAAACTAGAGGTGGTTCCATTATCTGTCGCAAAATGAATTGGGAATCACCGTGAAATAGTTTTGTTTGTTGCTATCAGCTCCTTTACTAATTTGGAAAACTTTTTGGGTTTTGAAATCTCCAAATATTTCGTATTTTGTTTTTGCTGTGTTTTGTGCACATAAATGAACTGCCTATGTTACTTATCTATCATTATCGAATTAACCCTACATGGTGTTCAATTTCAATTCAACGGATTTAAGCAAAAACAGATCAGACGCATGCCTGGACTAAAAATCTTTGGCAAGCGGCAAAATTTGAATGGAATTATATTATAATTATAAAATAAGTATAAAAATAGCTGAATTAAACACTCATAAATATAATAATTATCTCTACTTATTTTTAAACTATTACACAATGTTTTTTTGAAGATAAGAGCTGCTGGCTGTGGCAGCATAAAAAAAAATCCGTTTCACTGCAGGGATTCTGAATCGGATATAAAATAATGTGTACAAGTTAATTATTTCTGGGTTTAATATGACTAAAAATTGTGAGCAGTAGGACTGGAACGTCAGGAGGCCTTTTTCAGCCTAATTTTTTTTTCATAAAAGATAAAAATTGATTTAATTGAATTAAATTTATATATAAAAAGCGATTTAATTCTTGCCTACCTGAGAAAATTTATTAAAATTTCCGTATCAATTGAATTGCCGAATTTTTTCTTCATGTTTGCTTTTTTTAACACTTTGAATCGTACTTATCAAAACTGGATCAAAGGTGTAGAAAAAAAGAAATTGGAATCCCAAAAGGTATAATTCAATTTTGAAAAGTTGTGGAGGTGCATAAAAATACAGTTTCACATAAAGTTGCACATTCCATCAATATTGCCAAACTTGATAAGGGTAAAATTTAATTTGGTGTTCTGGACATCGAAGGATCATTTTTTCCTACAAAATTCCACTGTGAAGATTTGTAATCTAATAAATCAAAACATAATAAGACTATTGCCTACAAATGAACAGAGAATTCCTACATCATAGGAATTCAGTAGGAATTAGATGAAATTTTTCCTCATGGAAAAATATCATTGATACAATAATGAAGGCCTTGGTTTGGAATTTTCTCTGTGGTACAGTTCAAGTCCTGAATGAGTAATAGAAAATATTTATATCAATGGGACAGATCCATTTTTGTCAAATTATTAACATCCGTCTAAAACTTCGTAAATAGTTTAGTCTCATCGTAACCAATATTTGTAGGTTACGATGAGATTAAGGTTACTTACTAAAATTCTCGAAATTGAGTCATTTTCGATTTGGAGACTAACAAATTTTGTTTATTTGATTAGGTACTTAAATCTCAAGAATACCCATTTGCTTCCCCCTTGAATCGTAAGATAATATGATCACAAATTCGAAATAAAAGGTGGCTTACAAAAATATTGGGCCGTTTGGCTTATATAACCTCGTTATTTGACACTTAGGGGGTGGAGGTAATGCCAAACGGTTGTATTTTTGTAGGCCACTTTTTTTGTTTACTTTGTTATCATATTATCTTACGATTCAAGAGGAAAGGAAATGGATATTCATGAGTTTATAGTACCTAATTAATTAACGTGGAACCTCACAAGTAAAAACAGAATAAAATAATAAAGAAACATTTTTTTAAAACAATAATGTTGAAATCTTATCAACATGACTCTGGAAAAAAAAAAAAAAAAAAAGGAACTATATAGAATGATCTTTAAGTAGTCCTCGAAGGCCTGTTAAAAAAATAAAAAGGTAATAACAGGAACAATAATGAATTTAGGGATAATTTTTAAATATTATTTTCTTGAAAACTGCTTACATTTAATAGCTGTATATGCATTATAATTTTTAAAAAAGTACTTTGTAATTGTTTAATTATTTAGATCAGACCACTCACAGATATAGATATAAACTAATGAGAAAAAAAAACTATTTTCCTTCCGAGGATAAGCCAGTATATCAGATTGAAATGTGATTTTTGGAATAAATTTAGTATTAAATTTAAAAAATTTCTCTTACACTGGATCAAAATTGTAACGGTTGTATTTTTTTCATCAATAATAGAAATATTAAACTTATTTCTTCTGATATCAAGGCAGAACTAGATAGTTTTCTCGCGGCTTTGAACGTTATTTAAAATATAAATGAAGGCAGCAAGTTAGCACCGGTTTGTTCCTAAAAGGATAATAGTTATGAATATTCTTTGAAAACATTATTGGCTACAACTGTCATATGGGGTTGGATGTTCTACATTTCTTATGGAGCCTTGGTCTATTATTGACACAGCCATAACACAGGTGTATTCGCTATTGTGTCAACAGGTGAGTCAGTTGTTTTGTGATAAATCTTTGGAGCCATTATAGGACCACGTGACTTCTTACCCGGGCAGTAGGCATCAAGCTCAGTACGTTTACTGCGGTAGAGGTGTTCACGTCTAAAACAGAGGAACAGGTCAGTAAGAATCCTTCTATCACCAGTGATCATCAAGTCTTAGCATTATGATTAATTAATGGTTAAAAATATTTTAAGTAACAATGGCGTCCAAGATTACCAGATGTTACATGCTGTTGTAAGAATACTCCCTTTCGTTAAAAATAATGATTGAAACAGGTACATTGGGAATGTTGTAACAAATAGTCATCATTAAAATTATTTCTATAGTAAAAAATTAATTTATGTAACTCTGATTATTTTCTATGAGGGAATTAATGCATTTAAGTCTTTAAAATATTAACTTTTATTTTAAATGTATACATTTTATTAACGTTTCTCTTTAGATAGGTTTGAAGAAAATAACAAACAAGACAACAATCATGTTTTAATATTCCTGGAGAGACTTGAAGTTTGTCGAATCGGATACCGCCATGATGGTATTTAGCGTATGAAAGCCACATCCAATTTGTATCGTTTTTCTAGCTAGTGGAGATATATTTAAAATATTTTATTAATTTATCATCACGATCAAGTCTTTTATTTGTTATTTATAAATGAATCCACCATTAAGGTCATTATCGATCAAGTCATTAAGTAGTCAGGTATAGATACAAGATTAATAGTAATGAAAGATGACAATAAGATTTGGTCGATAAATGAAAACAAAATTAAATTATTTATGTGCTAATGGAATTAAAAATTGAATACCATTCTCAGTTTATTATTGTCTATCGTTTAATCCGTAAAATATAAAAGAAAATGGCGTTCTCACACATAAGACATGCATATATGACTATGTGTGTTTATGAATATATGTAAATATATCATGATAATAGATATTTCATATGATTTACCTAATTATAAAACTATAGAATCATACATTTTTTACATACATTCTTTTTATCTTCGGGCCCAGGTAACATAAATCCGACAATGATAGAAAAAAGAAAGAAAGATAAGAAGAGTTTCTTGAAAAATAAAATTCAGATTATCACAAAAAATTTGTATAATTTCTTTTATTAAACCTCAAATATTTTATAACTTTCCATTTATTTTATGTTTTACTGTAAATTTATTAAGCTTAATATTTAACTTTATGTATTAGTTTAATCATTTTATTTATTTTTCATTGTTATAATTATATTTATACTATTGTCATTATATATTTGGTTAGTTTAGTTGTTTTATTTAGTCTTCTTTCATGCTATCATCAGTTTTTACAATTTTCTGACCGTTTTAATTTTTTCTCATATTCTTATTTTACGATCCTTTGTTTCTTTAATTTTGTATACCTATTTGTGATCTATGAAACTTTACGTGATGCTGGTGGCCAACATGTTTGAACCGGAACTTAAGCTTATAACAAAAACTTTGACAAGTACATTGTTATAATTTAGATTGACTTAATATCCTCAAAATCAAAATTAACGTAAAGAATAAGTAAAATAAAATATAATGTTTTTATTTGAAACAAAAAATCTTTATGCTTCCTAGCTATGAAAGAAAAAATAATTAACGTTTGTCTTAAATAAAACAACCATGTAATACGACAACCAGCATCCGCGTCTAATGAGTGCATTGGATTCTGTGCAGAGAAGATATTTAATTACCAGTATTAGCAACGTATAAAATGTAATATAAAATCTGTAAAATGACGCTCAGTTCTACAATAAAAGAAACAGCAGTTTGCATTTGCAAGGTCGAAAAAACATTTCCAGTTTTATAAAAACTTCTTTAAAAAGAAATATATTTTGTTTATTGTTATTAGCTTTTCAAATAATTCAGTTAAACTGTTTCCACTAATGGATGTGGTCATACTTCTGACAGTATCTACAAGGTTAGAGCCTGACGCGAAACTTTTATCATTATTATACGGTGCTTGTCTCAAATGTTTTAGCTTAATAAGCTCAGAAGATTATGGAATATAGAACTATTTATGAACCTCCAACATAAATTCCTTTCCATATAGGATCCCGGAGTTGTAAAAGTTTTGATTTTATGCAGCTACGATTCAAATTAAAACAGTTATTCAGTGTTACCTCAACGATAAATGGATCAGAACCTCAACCTCTTCAGAAAAGAACATTTTTAAGAAGATTGAAACCTTTTTGGTTGAATGATAGAGAAGAGGATGGTTAAGAACCTTGTAAAAACTGGCAGAAGTGATTGAAAATTAAAAGAGCAAAAACGTTTAATCTACAGCAACGAAGATTACAGCGTTTACTGGAATCTCAGATGCTTCGGGATGCAATAGATTTTTTTTTGCTGGTGAAGAAATGAAGGGTTAATTGAATGGTTATTAAATTTATGATTTTTTAATTACAAAGTAGATAAACATTCCTCTTCTTCTGGTTCAAATTAATTTTCTACAGGAAAAGAATTTTGTTATAATAATTTAATAACAAGGAATAATTCATAATAATCTCGTTGTAACATGTTTCTTTGTTTTCAAAGCGATAGAATGGTTTAAAATAAATTCCGAATATTGACTATTTTAAAAAATGACGTCAAAAGCTGTTTGATTTCTTATTTTTGAAATTATGATAGCTCTTAGTCCATTTTAGCCATTTATACCAGTTATTAAAGTCCAACGTCAAAACAACTTTTTCAATGGAAGAAACGTCTATAAAATAAATCTGTTCTTTGAAATAAAAAATGGCAATTGTCCAAACCTTTAAAAAGTTACTTAACCGCACTGAAAAGAAAACGGTGAAGGATATACAACAAATTTAAAAAGGCCAATTTTTTCCCTCTATTAATAACAGTGATTAAATTGTAAGTAATGATACGAGAAATCAGCCCTTTTAACAATTAATGCGTACCATATATTGATATTTTTGTATAGTTCACTTAGATAAATTTTGGAAATTAATAAAAATATGATACAAGGACCCTACAGACAAAATTTCCAACCCTCATGATACTTAATTGTTTAAATAAGAAGAAAAAAATCGGATATTTTTCGATAGATCCAATAGAAACTTTTGAAATCTTAAGAGTTATGAATAAATGTATTATTCCTAGCGGTACATTTTATTTCATCTTGAATTTATTAATAAATTTGAAAGCCTTATTTAAAAAATAATATTGTTATAGCTGATATATGTTTAATAAATATTTATCAGTTATTAAAAGTTGTTTTGAAATATTTTAAATTTAGTATAATATTAATATAATGATTCATCAGTACGAATCAAATAAATTAATAAGATAGAACTTGCATAAAATAGATTTTAGCTTTAAATCATTATTCTCGGAATATTGTCACAAAAAAAAAATTACGTATAAGGCTGTTTAAAGTCAGGTATAAATAATATTTGCAAGATAAAGCTGAGTATATTTCTATATATAACAATTCATTGATTTATTTTTGAAAAAAATTATAAACTGATTGATATTAATTTACAAACTGGATTATTCCGATGTTCACTAACATTAGATAAAAACAAGTGATTAAACCTTGTTCGATGATACCTAATGAATAATGATATAGGATTAAAGACTACTCAACGTATATACATCAAATCCTAGCTAGTTGATATTATATTCAAAACAGCTTATCGTTCCTCATGAGTTCAAACAATAAGTCTGAAATAAAGGGATCCTGAAGGATCACATTTAATATTATAATCAGAAATTTAATTACTTCTATTTGATGATTAATTAATTCTAAGATCAAATAAGTTGATGAAAGTTTAATAAAAACTTTCTTTTTCCATCATTCGCTATTTTTATGCACGTTACATTCTCGTTCCTTATATATCACTTATTTCAAATGCTCATAAATTTAATTTCGCTATCGACATGTTAAAAAAAAAATCTAATGTAAAAAACGCTTCAAATTATTTCAAAATGGTTTATTATTTACTAACAATTATTCATCTAAAGTAACATTACCTTCCTATTTATAAAAATATATATATATATATATATATATATATATATATATATATATATATATAAGGTGATTTCAATTATTGGATTAAACCTTTTTTTTTTAATCATTAGTAATATGATCAAAAAATTTGCATTACTTCAGTGATACCTTCAAAATTCAAAAACCAAAACAAAAAAAAAAACTAGAGACCATATCTTTGCTCCTAATTGTTCGATTTTAACGACTTCTTTTTTGTTTTTTTAGGAAATTCAGTAAACTTTTAAAAAAACATTTACAACATCCGCAAAAAAAGTGTATACATTTTGAGTTATTCAGAATTTATTTTAACCATCACTCATAACTTTTTCCAGCTTCTTTTCGTTGAGGTATGTTATATAGATAAATTTAAAGGGAGTCCAGAAAATAACTTTAGCGAAGTTTTATTGAAATCCGTACATTCGTTTAGGCTCTACAGTCTATAACAACGCAGGTTTTTCGTCCGCCATTTTGAAATTAAATGGCGGATAGTAATGTCGATGAAGGAGGATCATTCTCCTATGACTTCTGATTTTATATCCAAATTTGAAAAAAAAATCGGCCCAGTAGTTTCGGAGAAAATGCGCGGATGGCGGACAGCGGACGGACAAAAAAAATATTCGTTTTTCGAATTCTCCGTATCCTGAAACATAAAACCTCAAATTTTGAGAGGGGATTAAGTTTTTAATTTTTAGGTCGATCACAATGGTTCATTATTGAAAATCATAAACCAAAATCTTTGAAAACATTTCTTCCATTTTGTGCCATTTTATAGTGTTTAGTAAAAGGCAAATAGGAATTTTTTTAATATATTTTAAATTTATATTTTTCTATTAATTATCTGATATTCCTTATTTATTAAAAATAAGTTCATGCATTTCAGCTCAATCTATAGCCGATTTTCAACATTTTTTTATCATAAAAATGATTATAGATTCACAAAAATGCACGCAGGTTCACAAACGTTAGTGACGAAGGAACGTTTTACAACTTATTTTAAAGCTGATATAGCTTTTCATTTAAATGTAACATGACAAACTCAAAAAAGAATTTTATTTTATTCATTTTCAAAATAATTTATTTCGTTTATTAATATTTTCAAAAA